AAGGAAGTTTTAATTGACATTTTGACGTATCAGGATGAAAGGTAAAATATTATAAGTAAAGTAATAAATGTATAATAATTTTCCAGTTATTAAAAAATTTCTTTGTTATTTATTTTAAATAAATAGCTCTGATGAAAAATCTTAATAAAAAAGTATTTCACATTTTTCTTAATAACATTATTAAAACAAAAATAATAAAAGAGGGCTTTAATTTTCTCCAGTTTTTCTTATTTTTATATCAATTTTTCCAATTTTTATTAAAAATTCATCTATCGACATTCATTTAATGCAATAAATTGTATTTTCAAATTAATATCATAATTAGGATCATTAAAAACCTTATTTACTTTCATGTCAAATAATGTAATTTTATGATCAACATAAAATATTTGGAAATAAATAAGAGGAATATGCTGGAAATGTTCCTGATTTAACATATTAAACAGTATATGATTAATTTTTTTCACATTAATTACAAATAATATAATATAATGTTTCCATGAAGTATATAAAATCATTAAGTACTGCAGATGTACAATTTGCATGTTTATTTCGAATTTATTACAATAATAATTAACGGAACAAATAATATCAAGTATGGTATGATATTTTTTTAAAGGTATTATATGAAATAAATAAATGTAATTACGATTAATGTATTGAAATGGTTGATCTCATTATGGCAGGCATAAAAGATGAATGGTTTATGTGATGTAATTCTGAACAAGTCTTTAGCTTTTGTTGAGAATAATTTATGGGAATTTTTTTATAAATAAAAAATATAAACGACACCTATTGATAAAGCTGAAACATTTAGGATATCTTTAAAGAAATCCTACAGGTGGCAGTATCAATCCTATCCTTACTTAAGATGATACCGACCCAACATCAGTGGCTGGGTTGTCGTTTGGTATATAAGCTATTATCCAAGCTAAGTGATGTTGAATTAAACCCCTGTAGAGAATTTAGATAGATGGATACTTGGCCGAGTTCAAGTGTATACAGCAATTGTATTACTCAATTAAGTTGAGAATTCAAAAGAATGAAAAGAGAGAGAGAGAGATTACTTGAGTAATTGTAATCTAAATTTGTACCTTGACTTGAACCTTCTGAAAGACCAATGTAATCTAAACAAAACCATCTATTTGAAAAGAACTCTGACCCCTTCTATAAATAAATTTGTCTTATACTAGTCATTTACTCAAATAGTAAAACCGATATTATATAATAATGATATTTATTTATGATGGCGAATATGATTTATTGGCCAGATAGTAAATAAACTATTCACATCAATTATTTTTGATAATAATGTACTTTATCAAGTAGTGTCAAAAGCCAGCTACTACATTAGTGTCTTCATCTTACACTCTTTAATGTAATAGGATCGAAACTTCTTACCTTGCAACTTCTTTCATAGGAAAGTTAATTTTAGAAAAATTATCTTGAAGCAGTTTGAAGACTTAATAAATACTTCAAGTAATTATGTTGTCTTAACAACATTAGGTAAATTTATCATACCTTTTTTTTTGGAGCTATTAAAGTTGAAGAATAACCAATTATTTTATTCTTTAAATATAGAACAGCCTAGTTACAACGATATTTATTTATAATAATAAATAGGCCGTAGGGAACGAAATTTATTAATCAGGGATAATTAAAGAGTAAAAAATAAAAGCATATAATTGAAAATAAGCTGCTGTAAGGTTTAATTAAATTGTAAAAAAACATTTCAAGTAGTCTCAGTGAAAGACTTATGATCTTAATTAGGAAAAAAGTACCTATTTTTATCAAATAATGTTTTAATTTATTTTTTTGAAATATTATTTTGTTATGCATCTACCATATTTAATATCAATTTTATATAATATTAGACCCAGATAAATTTTATAAACAACTTGACAGCTTATTTTTTGCATATTAAGAATTTTTTTGATAGCGTTAATGGTTACCTAAAGAAGTAAAAGATTCAATGTACCAGCAGGGGGTCGTTTTGCCATTTTTATTCAACGTGCATTTCACAGTAATTTTTTTTTTTTTTAGACAATCAACTTTTTTCATTCGTAAAACATTCAGCATAAAGTATATAGAATATTAAAAATACAATTTGATTTTTAATATCAACTAAAACTGATATGTTTTAAACAATTTACTGATGTTTAAACTTTTTTTTAATAAGACAATAATAATAATTATTATTTAAAGATAATAAAAATATATTATTCGTAAAAGTCAGATTTTTTTTAATCAAACTGTCTCACCCACCATATCATTAAATATTAAACCATCTAGTACACATCTCAACTAGATAATAGCTAAAATAACCTTTCATGAATAATGAATCCTCGTCTTTTGTCATGATGCCAAGCCTGACGTACCTTTATTCTATAATAAAAGTATTAATCAACCGTAAATAATAAAAAAACTTAAATAAATGAAAATTCAGGTGTCAACATGATCATTATATAATCTAATAAAGTATCATTTTTTCTTTAATGCTATCAAATTGATGAAACAGTATCATCTATATATTTATATCTGTATAATGATATCATCCCTCAGGTTTATTTATGCATGGATATTCATATATCTTCCGGTGATAACATTTTTATTACTCATCATTTGACTAGGATCCAATAAAAGTCTCGTTAAGAACAAATAATGCTCTTTAATTAACATCAGCACCTTTCAGTCTAGAAGTGCATCACCACTACAGATGTCTTATTAAATTAAAAAAAGAATGAATATAAATAATAATTTAAACAATAAAATAATTGATATTTTTAATGAAAAATCTTCATTATTTTTAAAACATAAATAACAGAATTTTTTTTATTTACAAATCTTCCACTTAATAGTCAATTTATGTTTTATTTTTATTTCGTTTTAAACTCGAAAATGCTAAGCTCAGACTATCATGGAAAAATGGGCTTTAAATTCCACTAATTGATCGAAAAAACTTTTTTATTTCCCTGAATGCAAGTCTACACACAAAAAGCGATTGGTCAATAAATCGTTATTTTTAGCTACCAATTAATTAGAGTACTTCTTGTTAGACTCGTTGTAATAAAAAGAGACAGTTTAAATAAACCACACATTAACACTAATACGTAAATTTTAATGTTTTTCTTTTATGTGGGTCGGAAGAATTTTATCTTGATTTTTTTAGCATGTGGGTGATTTACGTGATTATCGTGTTTTTAACCCTCATGACTGTGTCGGTGATTATGCAAATAATATAGATATATGTATATATTTTTTGAGTCTTGTTATGAAAAAAATTAAAAAAAAACCGAAGATGATAGTGTTTGCACGGGTGTGCGGTTTAAGAGGTAATCCAACTTAAGCTACTTCGATTACGATAAGTATTTCAAGTGGTCGTGTCTGATATTGCGAACTGAGAGCAAGACCTTGATAGCATAAAGATCGTCTGTCTGCAATATTCAATCCTATCGGAAAAACTGTATCACATCCTTCAAGGTGAAAAAAAGGATACAGACGTGTTGTGTTATAACAAACACACTCTGGTGGTATCATAATCAATTTTCATTTTTTTTTTTTTCTTTTTGGTTCAAGTAAGTGATACTGAAGGGGAAGGAAGAGTTAAGATGTAATATAAGGAAGAAAACATTTATTTTACTTGAATAAAAAATATTGAAATGGGAAAAAGAAACCTTGAAATATATTTTTATGATAAATGGAAGAAAATATTTCAACATTTTTTTTTTTTTAAATAATAAATCTAATCTTAAGTAGCATAAAAAAATGTAATTATACATAAGTAAATAGAGTGCATGCATTCCAATTTAATGCTTAAAAATTTTAAACAGTCACAATAAATTTTTTAAAGGAATGGTAATAATTTTTTTCTCCATTTTTGCAACTTTTTTACTCGACTGATACAAAAGCGCCATTTTTTGGATCCAAATATATACAAAAGAATGGCAATGATATAAGTCAACCGCGGATACAGCCTTGACATTAACTAGTCAGCAAAGAACAATAGGAATAAAAAAAAAAGAAATAGGGTAACCTCATCTAACCGCATATTGTGAAGAGTCGAGAGACAGAGCTGCCGAAATAATGGTTGTGAAGTAAAATGACGAAATTTTAAATCGTTAAAGATAACGTGTTGTGAATAACAAAGTAACCAAAAATAATAGATTCTATACACACATTAAAATGAAACAAGCAAAAATACGTCAAGTGACGGAAAAGAAAAATTATAGAAGACTCGAAATAGTCGGTTTATAATGACAATATAAATCATGAACGGAAGTAGGAGGAAGAGGAAAAATAAGATTCGCGTTAAGAGAAAAAAAAAATTTAGAATGAATGATATTGCCATTGTGATAGCTTTACTGTCTTTTATCTAGTTCAGCAGATGTGTTTTTATTGATTTATTTCTAATAACTTTTTTTTTCTTGCAATATTAATATTGCCTTTTGAATCATGAATTTATGTGTATTTGAATAAAGAATAGATTCATGAATGAATATTGGGCTATTCATTTTATTTCTTTCAAAAACCTAGATTTAACCAAAAATCCAATAAATCCTATGTATTTCTCTCGAACAAATAGCAATTTGATTTTATGAGGGGGCGATGGTCCTAATAATGTCATAACATTCACCAGAAACTATCTGGCAAGTTTTGAACATTGAGTCTAATAATGCATGTACATACAGCAACATGTCCTATATACCACAGGAAATATCAATAATTATTTGCCATCAAATTTCAAACCAAAATTCAAATTGTGTTACATATTATGAGATAAACAAACCAATAGATGGACAATCAAGATCATGAATAACATGTGTTGTGATCATTGTTGTCTTTGAGTTAAAAATAATCTCTGCCTTGATCCAATTATTGATTTACTTACCTTATTCAATCAAAGTCTATCTATGACATGTCTAAATAAACCTAAATAGTGATAAGTAATCCATTTTTTTGATTTTTAATCATCAAAAAGCAAAAAAGAAATCCAAACTTACCAATTTTTCCATTCGGACTATAAGGGTCATAGCTGCCAGAACTCATGGGGCTGACGTATCCATTATTATTAGCTGGTTGTTGCCCCGGTTGACTAATAGCTGTGGGAGGTGTCATAGTCTGCTGTTGCTGGATAATCTGCTGCTTTGGTGGTGGAGGGGTTGGCTGTTGTTGTTGCTGTTGTTGAGGTGATGGAATTTGTCCAAGTTGTTGTTGTGGCGTAGTATAAACAAGATGCTGAACAGGAAGGTTTGGGCGCGAATTGGGACTACTAGGTGCAAGCCAATCATCTGGCCTTGGTCTCTTATTACTATTAGCTATACCAGCAAAAAGAGTACCACCTGGGCCAATGTGCCCACTAACAGTTGATGTAGCTGTGGACCCTATTGACGTTCCCGCCATGTGGTCAGTAGATTCAGCCTTGACTAAAGCAATCGTTGGTCCAGCTACCATAGTAGATCTCTCTGACGTGTCCATATTCGATGATGGACTCATCCGGGATGTGGGTACCAAGGTGACGTCCCCTGTTCCCATTTCGTTTTTGACACTGATGCTATCGCTATTGTTGTTGCTGTTTTCCCTCTGGATCGCCGCCGCTGGATCATCGTACCGCACTGCGGCCGCGTTGTTGCTTACTAAGCTGGTCACCGTGACTTTCGTTCGTACAAGTTTGATTGTAACAGACGAGCCGGTACCACTAGCAGCGCCACGCATATTGACCTCGACGTCGTTACTGGTATCATGTATTCGACCTACGCACATTCAATTATATTCAATGTCTTATTCATCATATTTAAACCTTTTTGTATTACCAAATTATTTTTAAATTAAAAAAAAAAATTAATAATAATATATATATATTATGAACGAGTTTCTAAATATTAATGAAAACACAATTCAGACAAAAGCTAAATAAATTCCCGACTTTAATAAAATACGTATCGCTCTCTAGTGATCCCACCTCGTCTTTTTCCATCATGTGTACGATGACTTACTTCCTCGTGGCGAGCCTAACGGCATCGACCACTTTCTAGTAATCGGAAAATCCTATTTTTATTGAAGTTCTGCTCAATTATAAATCACTAAAAAATATTCACTTTCTTCTTCACTTCACTCGTACTTTTTTCCTTTATTTATTATTTTTTTGAAATACTTTTTTTTCTTTTTTACCTATTTTATAATAACAACTTATTCAAACTAAACAACTCAGTTTACAAGCACTTTCACACGTTCATCACTGAAAAATAGACCGCGATTCTTCAACTGTGCTCTAAATATAGCTTCACATACGGGCTTATTATTTTTCAAAAGCCGTTGTCAATTATTTTAAATATTTTGTTTTATTATAATATTCAAAAAATGGTTCTTCACAAGATTCAACTTAAACTCATTGTTTCACTTATTTTGAGTGATTCATCACGAATAAATCTGTAGTTTATGATGTTGTTGGAATAATAATTGAACATTAAATCACTTAAATATATCAATTGAAGAAACTTGTTGCATAATCTCCAGTTCTTGCAAATTTCCAGTTATCTGTAACATAAAAATATTGCTATTAATATATCATACTTTAAGACAATTAAAGAATTAAAGGCAATTAGAAATAAGGGATTAATTATTCACAGTAGAGTATGATTTCATTTTTGATACAAAAATAGAAGATACAAATTGCATGGGTAATTAAACTGTCATGATTAATAATCCATTCAAATAATTGAGATTAAGATGCCATCAATCAAGTCCAGGTTGAAGTAGTAAAATTAGAATATTTAATAAAAATGAAAAACTTCATTTATATCATAATTTTTTGTTTTCAACAAATTATCTTACAAGTTTATAATTAAAAAAAAATCAATATGAATAAATCACTTTAATGATAGCAATAAAAACAATATGTAAACAAGAGCAATGCTCTACTCAAACAATGACGTAAATTTTATTTATTCAACTAAGATCAAAGTTAGTACTGTATCCTAAAAATAGTAACTCGATCGAGGATTATTCTCTGCATCAATGAAACGGCACGGCTACTTATAAGCTTCGATTGTTTATGGATTGAAATATGTACGTTCAAGAAACTGAGAAGCCTTACAATTCATATCAACTATTCTTCACTCAAGATATTGTAGATAAAAATATTTTATAGATAAAAATACTATTGTTCTTTCAGAATTTTAACATCTCCCATAGGAACATTATTACATCAAATATGCATCTCGTGTTACGAAAGAAAATAAAAAAAATTCGAGAAATTCGAGAGACGAGTATCATTGAAAGGTAAAACTACCATTGTTGGTACAATTTTCACTGGCTAAAATATCAAAGAAAAAGGTACAAATTGAAATGTTTTCTATGCAGACAGCATGAATGAACTCATTGTGACAGATTACACAAATGTGTGTGTAGTTTTTCAGTATGAGATCACATAAGTAAACAGAATTGTTTAAGAAGGTAAATTTGATTTTCACCACTATTTGTAGCCACTGATTCAACTAATTATCTCCTTTATCTAATTTATAAAATAAAATATATAATTAGCTATCGAACATAGATCACTGAAGCAGCTATGAATCATCAAATTGGTGATATATAAACATTCAGCATAGCATATAAATAATCCTTTGAAGTTATTGAACCATACAAGACAAACTAAATTATATGATGGTTTAATGATGTACACAAACTGTTTATTCAACAAAATTGAAAGCTTTCATGTAATAAAAATTAAATTGCTTCATGCACTTTATATTTTCTTTGAACAATGAACCTGTTAAATCTTATTATGTGAGTGAATTCAATTATTCTTAACAGATATGTACTGACTTGATAGCACAAGTCTATTGTAAGTGATTGGAGATTTTTTTTTTAATCGTTTTCGAGATACATGTCAATAAGAATAATTATTTAGCATACCTAGAGTACAGCATTTAAAATAATCTAAGGTAGTTTGGCATCCACAGATTGGTAATCAAAACAGTAGTGGTTTTTTATCATTTTTAGAGATAAAAGAAAAATTTTAATTCATATAAATTATTTTGATTAGCATTGCCGCTATTTTTTCCTAGCAAATATGGTGGAGAAACAAAGATAGATTCCGAGTTACAATGTTTAAATCATAAATTTCAAAAAAAACTGTGTGATGAATCATGTTGACATTGATCTTGAATACATTTCAAGTAATATTCTTTACATCAAAGTGTTTTTTATTGTGGGTTAATTGTTCCAATTTTTTATAAATCATCTATTTCTGATAAATTTGAATAAGGACAGTCATGAGAGCTCATATATTTTTGCATAACTTTAAAAATTTAAAAAAAAGGGTAGTCAACTGTGAGTTCTGTCAATACCAAACTACCTCAACATAAAAATTTGAATTTATTCATTCAGCAGTAATTTATTAACTAATTTATTGGAAATAAAGTTCTTTCATCAGTAGAAAAAAAAATTTTGATTTAGTTGATTCTGGCTTTTTTATGAAGCAAATAACTCTATTAGTTTACTCGAAAATTATGATGGCCTCGAAATAAACAAATATTAATATGCTTTATATCACGCAATATTTGTTGTTGGTTTTGTAGAAGTTTTAAATATTTTTGGAGTAGTAAAACATTGTAATTCAGTAAATGATATCTATCATGTATTTAGTAATTTTTGATTTATTTTGGCCAGATAAAATGGAACTGAAATTCCGAACGTTCTTAGAACGGAAACTTTCGAAATGATTGGACCATAAAAAAGTTAGCTCTGATAGGTTCCTAAAGATTAGAAAAAATAAAACAAAGCGAATTAAACATCCCCGGGGTGTCGGGAAACCCTCAATAACCCCAAAACAACCCTTTTAATTAAAAACGAAAGAACACCTAACACATAACATACATCAAACCCTTAAAACCATTATAAAAATTTAATTTATAATTTTTTTATAATAGAACCGAGTCTGTAGAATCAAAAGAGACCAGAATTGTCCATAGGAAATTTTAACTTTCAATCAAAACTCACCCCTTTGGCATAAAAAACTCAAAAAACCATCAAAATTGGAGAAAAATTCTCTCATAACCATTATAAAAATTTCAGATAAAGATTTCTCAAAGTACTACAGAGACAAATTTGAACTGATCAATAAGTTGAATGTTCAATTATAGAATAAATTTTAAGACTTCCATGATGGAAGACTTAATCTTATTTGGATTTGAATAAACCGTGGTAAATAAAATAAAAGTATTTACTTTCATTCTAATAAACTAATAACAACACTGTAATTTTTTTGTTAACAATAAATTTTTATTTACAAATTCTTGTTTACTGCAAAATATTTAAAAGGTTGTTACTAATTAATGATCAGGAAAGATTTGTTTTTCAGCAAAAGCCCATAAAATAATTATAAATATTTCTTGGTAATTAAAAATGCCAAAATTGTCAATAAAATATTATTTGAATAGTTTATAAGCATTTCAAAGCACTTCCAACATGCAAATGTTCATCGTTCTGAAGCTATTTAATTTTGCATGAAGAGTTTGACATTTGGAGTATAGCTGTTATTCAAAGCTACTACCTACAATGTTTTTGAAAAATAAATCAATTACTAGTAATATGATTATTTAAACATACTTTTAAAGAATAGCATATTTATCTTGAAAAACTAAATTCACTAATTTTCCATTCAGTTCAAAAACATTCGTCATATAGATATAAAATTTATAACTGCTGATAAGTTCTATTTCAACTCAACTCATGATATATTTACTGAAGAAAGTTTATTGAAGTTTTCAAACACGAAGAAATCTAAAAAATATCTCCGTAAAATAATTCAAGAAAGTACAAAAATTTTATGTCTTGTCGTAAAAATAAAGGGAAAAAGAAGTCAGTTTGAAAGGATGGTGATTGACAGTAATGATATTTTCTGGAATGGATTTCTTTGAAGAAATTAATTGGAAAAAGTTTAAATATCATTTAAAAAATTCAACTGAAGTCAATATTTCTGAACATCACTACTCAAAAAAAAGAAAAAAATTAATATTAATATCTAGATATTTTGATATATCATAAACTTTATATATTTTTCAAACAATTAAATCTAAAAAAATTTTTTCTTGAACATAAAATTCCAAAATGCATTTTGACAATAGCATAATGCAATCCAAGAGTTGTTTTCGTGACAACAATTATGTGAGAAATTTTAGCAAAGATTGTAGACGCGATCAATAAATTCAAGAATAGAAGTTTAACACAGTTCTCAATCTAGACAAACAATGTTTTAAAGTCAAGTACGTAAGATTAAGTAACTATTTGTTCAATTATAGTATTTTGAATCTATAAATGACATACTACGTTTCAAAAATGTGTGAACAATCAAGTGAAGTTTGTTAACATCAGTTGTAAAAAGTCAAGAGAGATAAACCGAGATCAGTTTTATTTTATATGTGTATATATATATGTGTGTGAGATACCCCAACATCAGGGCCAGGGTCTCACTTGGAGTATCGTCAAGAGAATGGAAGCATCTAGGTCAATGCCTACCCTCTGCTCAGCCCGGGAGTCGCATTGCTCAAACCTTCGATCGAAACCCTGAGATAGCTTCACTACCACACTCTCTTACAGAGCCTTATGGATATCATTCCAAACACATTGAAATTGTGTTTTACTTGTACATAGCGGTTTAAATTTCAAATTAATACTGCAAAATACTGACCTACATGAATGAAAAAAAATGCAAAATTTAGTTGAATGGATTTATATGGAGATAATTCGTTGATCTACATCTCAATTTTCGAGATTGTCGGTCGTGATATTGATAGAAAGAAGAACATTGTAATACTGGTTCTTTATTTAATGTAACAAAGTTAAAGCTAGGTATTGAATTGACCAGCTTAATCATTTTAATAAAATTGATAACACAAGTTACTGATAAAAATAAAAATTAAAAATAAAATATTATAAACAGAAGAAATAGTAATGGAATATAACCATTCCTATCTCGACTTTTTTTTTAGATTAAATCGTTTTTCTATAATTGATTTTACAAATGAATAAATCTATTAAACAGCTGTAATGAATTCTTTACTGAACAATATAAAGAAATAATTGTATTAAATTAAAATAATTCATTCGTTATTTTTATATTTAATAATAGAAATTATTTGAAAATAATTCAATTATTTTAATTGTACATTTTATTAGTAAAGATATTTGAAAAAATATATTTAAATGATAAATTGGTAATGATTTAATATTATTATTAAAATAATTTATTACAAAATTCATTTTGCTGGAAAAAATTTCAACATTTTTGTCCATAGTAAATTTATCTGCAGAGAAAAATTAAAAAAAAAGGTAGTATATATCTGATATTGTTTGTTCAACGAACATGCATCACAATATGATTTCGAAAAAACTACTGCAGTTGGTACATATACGTGACGTGATATGTACAAAATGAGAGCCTGGATCGATTGTACTTTTAGCTAGTGAAGTGCATGCGCGTTGCAATTGGGACAGAACCACCCCCCCACATTGTTATTGGAAGGAAAAATAAT